TACTCAGGGGATGTGGTTTAGAAAAGCTAATTAGTGATTATAAAGCAATTTGTAAACATGCTTAGCAGTGCAGAATCTGATTCAAATTCTTTCCCTTCTTTTCATGCCCCCCCCCCCCACACACACACATCAAGCACCTTTCATCTTCATGGGTTCATTTATTACTCCATTCCTTCATTCAACATCTTTTTCTTTTTTTTTTTTTAAATTAAATCTTTATTGTTCAGGTTACATTTGTTCCTCTTTTTTTCCCCCCCATAACTCCCCTCCTCCCAGTTCCCGCCCCACCCTCCGCCCTCACTCCCCACCCACTTTCCTCATCCATAGGTGCACGATTTTTGTCCAGTTTCTTCCCGCATCTCCCATTCCCCTTTCCCCGCCAAGAATAGTCAGTCCATTCCCTTTCTATGTCCCTGATTCATTATAATCACCAGTTCATTCTGTAAATCAGATTATTTATTCACTTGATTCTTAGATTCACTTGTTGATAGATGCATGTTTGTTGTTCACAATTTGTATCTTTACCTTTTTCTTCTTCCTCCTCTTAAAGGATACCTTTCAGCATTTCGTATAATACTGGTTTAGTGGTGATGAACTCCTTTAGCTTTTCCTTATCTGTGAAGCTCTTTATCTGACCTTCAATTCTGAATGATAGCTTTGCTGGATAAAGTAATCTTGGTTGTAGGTTCTTGGTATTCATCACTTTGAATATTTCTTGCCATTCCCTTCTGGCCTGCAAAGTTTCTGTTGAGAAATCAGCTGACAGTCGTATGGGTATTCCCTTGTAGGTAATTGAGTCTCTTTCTCTTGCTGCTTTTAAGATTCTCTCTTTGTCTTTTGCTCTTGGCATTTTAATTATGATATGTCTTGGTGTGGTCCTCTTTGGATTCCTTTTGTTTGGGGTTCTCTGCGCTTCTTGGACCTGTAAGTCCATTTCTTTCACCAGGTGGGGGAAGTTTTCTGCCATTATTTCTTCAAATAGGTTTTCAATATCTTGCTGTCTCTCATCTTCTGGCACCCCTATTATTCTGATATTAGTGCGCTTGAAGCTGTCCCAGAGGCTCCTTACACTATCTTCGTATTTTCGGATTCTTTTTTCATTTTGCTTTTCCGGTTGGGTGTTTTTTGCTTCTTCGCATTTCAAATCTTTGGCTTGATTCTTGCGCTCCTCTGGTCTGCTATTGGGTGTAATATTCTTTATTTCCGACCGTGTATGCTTAATTTCTAGTTGTTTCTTTATCATAGCATCGAGGGTCTCATTAGTTTTCGTGAGGCTCTCCAAAAGTTTATTGCAAGCCCTCAAAATTGCGTTTTTTAGCTCTATATCCTCCATTTCTGTCATGTTTTTTCTTTTTCTTTTTTTACAGAGCATCATCTAGGTTCCAGACACTGCTTTAGGTGATGGGGACTCAGCAATGAATGCAATTGACTGCCCTTCTGGAGCTTACATTTTAGGAGGAAAGACAGATAATAAAATGATGAAACAAGACCTGGCTTATGTTTTTAAAGGGCTGCATTGATGAGAATACACCATAGAGGCCTCTTATGTATAATATCATTTTCTCTTAACTTAAAAGGATCTGTCTGTGGTTCCAAAGACTGGACATAGGTACAGGTAATGTTTCCTCTCCTTGATACAAGGGGACACATTCAATAACTTCTACAGAGGGTAGAAGAAACAGTCTTGCCATTGATTCGTTCCTACAGTACATACCGTGTGTGTGCACCTAACACTGTGTGGTCAGTGGAACATTGTCTCCAAAGGATGTGGTCCCTGCCTGTGACGGGGAGACAGACACTCCAGCTGAGAACCCCAATTCAGTGGAACACCTGCTCTGAGGAGGAGTGTCTACTCAAGGTGTAGTGGTGAGGCCCATACCTGAGGAAGCCAGGGAAGGCTTACCCAGAGAAACAGAGAGCTGGAGCTGGACCTTGAAGGATATGGACCAGTGAGTGAAATGTACTCGTGTCAGGAGGAGCTTTCCAAGCAGGGAACAGCTCTCCACAAAGGCCAGCAGTCACAGAGCACAGCCTGGTGGCCTGTGCCAGTAGCCGTGTTTCAGTCAAGCCGGGATGTGGAGAAGGAAACATGGAGTAGTGGAAGGTGAGGCAAGACCCCAAGGGCTAGACCAGTGATGGCGAACCTTTTGAGCTCGGCGTGTCAGCATTTTGAAAAACCCGAACTTAACTCTGGTGCCGTGTCACATATAGAAATTTTTTGATATTTGCAACCATAGTAAAACAAAGATTTATATTTTTGATATTTATTTTATATATTTAAATGCCATTTAACAAAGAAAAATCAACCAAAAAAATGAGTTCACGTGTCACCTTTGACACGTGTGTCATAGGTTCGCCATCACTGGGCTAGACTGAGGGTCAGGGAAAGCCCTTCATTCTGTCTCTAAGGAGACTGCGGGCCATGGCCCAGTGACTGTATCCCAGTCACATAGCTGGATTGGGATGGAAAGCTCTCCTGACTCCCAACATGGTGCTTTTTCTACTCCCACACGGTGCCTGTAATTTTTATTCCTGAACAGAGTAAGACCAGGGCCAGGGTTGACCACCGCAGTGAATTGGGTTACATCTGATACAGCAGCGGTTCTCAATCTGTGGGTCGCCAACCTGTGGGTCGCCACCCCTTTGGGGGTCAAACGACCCTTTCACAGGGGTCGCCTAAGACCATCGGACAACACATTTATAATTACATATTGTTTTTGTGATTAATCACTATGCTTTAATTATGTTCAATTTGTAACAATGAAAATACATCCTGCATATCAGATATTTACATTAAGATTCATGACAGTAGCAAAAGTACAGTTATGAAGTAGCAACGAAAATAATTTTATGGTTGGGGGTCACCACAACATGAGGAACTGTATTAAAGGGTCTCGCGTGGCATTGGGAAGGTTGAGAACCACTGTGATACAGTCATGCAGGCTGTTCACTGCATGTACGTGTGGGGGAGGGGGGAGGGTGCTGAAATCCAACCTGCTCTCTGCCAGCCACACTGCATCCCGGGCTGAGTTACAATCCTACCCCAAAGAAGAGCCATTTCTTTTGAATAAGGGCTCTCGAGTGAGCAGGGCCCTGGGTGGCCTCCTGAGACGTACTCTGGCTCTGAGGGGCAAACACAGGGAGAAACTTCATTTCAACACCAGGACTTCCTTCTGTACTTGGCCTCTTAGTCCATGCTCGGAGCTAAAAATAGGGGTGTGGGGGGGAAGCAAAAGGAAGGATGCCCACAGTAGAAAGGTCTCATGTACTCCCTCAGGAGTACATGAGGAGGCACCTCCTCCACTGCCCTTAGGACTCATTTCTGACCCTGGGAGTCTGGGCTCCCTGCGGTCTTCCTCCTAAGTGGGGCTCTGTCAGGAGCCTCACCGGCTCACACTGCCAGGCCTCTGGCCAGGAAGTATTGCTACACAGGTGGTAGCTGTGGTCTAGTGTCTGTCACTGCAGAATCCCCAGCGATGGCGCCCAGGAATTTCAACAAGCTCCCCACATAATTTTATGGCCACTAACATTTGAGAAATTCTCTTTCTGTGTGATTTTTTCATATCCTGTTGACAAAGAAGAGGGAAAACATGTTGGAGCATCCTTCAGAAGCGAACCCAACCATTTTTAAATTAGTTTTCTTTCATTTAATAATCTACCTTGGACATCATTCATATGAGTGGTACATCTGCCTCATTCTTTTAATGGCTACATCCTATTTCACTGTGCATATATACTATAATGTACCTAACTAATATTTTTCTGACTGTGGTATTTTCTCTAACTGTAAATTCAGTAATAGCTTGTATATCATGACCGGTATAATTTTTGTCTTATTTTTAAAATGAAAGAAATTAGAAAAGAGTGTTCGTGAAATTTTCTTTTTTTTTTTTTTTCAGTTTTCCATGTGTAGGTATACTAGTTGAAATATTAAAAATTGTTTCTTAGTTCAGGCTGTGGTCAAAAGTTGGAAAGCCATAGATATAGAGAACTATGGATATTTAAAGTATCTGTCAGGCACCCAACATTGGAACTTGTGTTATCTTTCTGCGGGTGAGTTCATAATAACTGCTGAACTTACTTTATGTGGCCACATGCAAAAATCAGGACTTTAAAAAATGTATTATTGCTCAGCCAGCTTGGCTCAGTGGTTGAGTGTTCGACCTATAAACCAGGAGGTCATGGTTCGATTCTTGGTCAGGTCACATGCCCAGATTGTGGACTCCATCCCCAGTGTGGGGCATGCAGGAGGCAGCCAGTCAATTATTCTCTCTCATCATTGATGTTTCTCTCTCTCCCCCTCCCTTCCACTCTGAAATCAATAAAAATATGTTTTAAAAAATAAGAATACAAATAAAAATGTATTATTAGTTTGGCCTATGCCTTGTAGTTGAAGGCGTGCTGCATAGAAAATGCCTGGTTTGATCTTGGGTCTGTAGATACTATAGCTTAACAGTTGAATGGAGAGTCTTGTTGGAGTTCACTTGATGTTACTCTAAATACAGCCTTTTACTGAGGAAACTGGCCTGTTGGCCTCTGACCAACACCTTACAGGAATTTTCTGGCATTCCACCATGTATACCTACAGAACATCGGGCAGGTTCTTTGGCTCCACCTCTAGAGCTCAGAAAGCTGAGCCTTTAAAAGATCCTTTCCGAAACCTTCTCCTCTGGGTGTCAGGCTTCCTATGTGGGGGCTGCTTGTTCATCTTGTTTGTGAACTTAAATTTTCTTGAAGTCACATGCCTCTGAGCTGTGCCTAGATCGACTTTCTGTTTAACGTTTGACTGGGGATTTCACTGGAATAGGATACGAGCTGTGGCGACATATCTGAAGGCTGTGAATTTCTGTTCCACCCCCAATTAAAAGCTGTGACAACATAACCTGAGAGTTTTCTAAAATTGTGTGCCATGAACGGGTTTTACCCACAAATTTCAGGCTGTGAATTTCTAACTGTGCTAAAACATTTAATATTGCCTACAACCATTCAAAAAGTTCTAACAGGACAAATTGTGGCTCCCTTCCTAAATTTCTTGAATTTAGTGATTGTAAAAGATTAATATCCTTTCTAGCATTTTATTTTTCTTATTGTAGAAATGTAAAGAAGGAAAGCTGTTTTTTTAAAACCAATCCCCATGTAGGTGTTGCCAAATCACCTCTACTTCAATTCAATGTGTTGTATAAATATCATGTACTGTGTTGTTCCGTGATGTGAAAAATATTGCAAGCACCAACAGAATTTATTGGGGGCCGGATATTAAAATCACCTGTAGAGCCTCGTAAGGGCATGTGTGTTCTCTCCCCAGCCAGACCTGAATCAGAACTACAGTGGGGTGTGGGACAAGGGCCAGGCAGGCATGTGTTTCCTAGACAGTAGTAAAAATATGTTAATCATGTTTTTTCACTGTTAGTGCTCTTCTCTTTTGACACCTCAATCATGTTGCTCTCTGCCTGTTTTCTGGGCAACTGGAACTTTTAGTGACTTCATTCAACCTTTCTAGAAGCTTTCAACCTTTCCCGGTCTTCCTTTCTGCCTCCTTGTCCTGAGACAGCGGGGGCCTATATCTCCCCATTCCCCAGTGTACTCTCCGAATACCTGTGCTTGTCCCCAGGGCTGGGCCTCCTGTGTCATGGGAGCTCCTTGAGGGCAGGTGTTGTCTTCATGGTCCTCAGTAAGTCTATTGAATGAATGAGTTACTGAGTGCAGGGCAATAGGAAAAGCAATGACTACGGGCTCCCTGGCCCGCTAGCTAGTGCAGAGGGAGAAGGAATGAGCCCGTGTGAGGAGCTTCCTTTGGTCTTTTCCTAGGAAGAAAGGTTTGGCCATGCCAGAGACAGACAATGGTCCGTCAGGTCCCCAGGCAGTCAGGAGCTCACTAAAGCAGGTTCAGTGGCAGAATCTGAACTAGGATCAGGTGTCCCTATAGGCAGTTGGGCAGTTTATCTCTGGTATGAAGCAAGAGTAGCAGGGCAAGAGGTCATCAGAGCTGGGCCAAGGGGTAGTGACCCAGCCCTGCCCCGTTAGGTCTACCACAACCTAATTAATCTGTTAACTCATTTAAATATTAAATATAATAGTCCAATGTTTGGCAAATTAGTTCATGAATCAGCTCACACTTGTGAGGTTTGTCGTTTCCACGCCACTTTCATGTATGTTACCTCCTTTTAGCTTCCCGCCCACTCTGCCGCCTGCTCTGGAGGTAGGTAGTGTAGGTGCGTCTGTTCTCTAGATGTGCACACTAAGGGGAATTCACAGATGCCTGAGAGGCAAGTCTGGGAGTGAGCCAGGTCTTCGGACTGCTCACCCAGTGCTCCCTTCCCTGTTTCTTCAGAGCCTGTCAGTCTTGGCAAGTATATACTCAGCACAGCAGTGAGACCCAGGACCCTTTTTGGAGGAAACAGGAGGTGAATATTCTTCGGAGATCCGAGTTTAGATCGGAAGCCTCCTAGGATTTACAAATCAGATTTCCTTGTTCTCTTTGAAAAGTGCCTTTAGTCTACTCTGAAAAGCTTGTCATGCCTGTCAAAAGACGCTAGCGACAGGTGAACAGTGAAGCATTCTGAGAATGAGAATAAAGGGCTTTTATTAGGGAGGGAAGGCAGCGCAACTTAATAATTACTGTTGAAATAGTCACAGCAACGCCGAAGCTTCTCCATAATTTAATCTAACTTAATACTAGCTGCCGCCTCCCTGGTGGCAATACATAAATTAATTAATAGTAGGTTGGATTTGAAGCGATGGTGCTGTATTTAGGCCATTATTAACTTGTTCTCTGTGCCTTTCTGGTGTGGCTGGGTCTGTTCGTAGCTTCTGGCTCTTATTTCCATTGTGGCTTCCACCAGCATCAGGATTCTGAGAACGTGTGCTATTCTATCTGCATTTCACTCCCTTTTTGTAATAAGCACATAAGCCCTACAGAGAGGTGACACCTGCTTGACTTGTAACACGTAGTAGGGATGGTTCTGCAATACGTATTTCTCTTGAGATAGTTGTTAAGATGGTGAGTTCTGAGTGGGATTACCCCAGACTGAACTCTGGCTCTACCACTCACTACTGCATGACCTTGGGCAAGGTGTGGAACTATCAGGAAAATGAGTAATAATCGTATCTACCCCGATAGGTTGTCGAGACAATTAAGTGAATTAATACATCTAAGGTTCTTAGAAGAGGACCCATTGTGTTCTAAATAAATATTGGTTAACACTAGTAATGGTGCCCCCTCCGCCAGTCCTCAGTTGCTCTTCATTCCCAGGATGCAGACATAATAACGTTTTGCGTGTCACCAAGTCACTCGCATTTGCCAGATGGAAAAGGACCCACATTGGCCCTCCTGAGTTCCTGGCTGCACTGCAGAAGCCACTCACCCGGTAACCACTGAGAAACAGCCTCAGCAAAGAGGGGAGGGGATTCTGAAAGCATCTGCATCTACATCTTGGGGATACGCAAGTAACGAATATGCATAACTCATTTGAGAACTCGGCCACCATTCCAGGGAGACAGGGACTTGCAAGGAAGAGCTTCTGCTGCTTGTGATAAATGCTGTTGAGGAGCTCGGTGGAGTCATGGGCAAAAGTGCTTCTGGTTTGCTGCAGGCCTCTTGGCCCCAGTAGGCTTCACCCGCTTGGTTTGGGATGCCACAGGCTTGTGCAGGGCCCTGGAGCAATTGGTGAGGTGGCGTTGGCTGCTGAGAAAATGCTCCATCTCAGCAGCCCATTGGCCTCATGCCTCTAGTCCAGCCCTCCTCCTGCTTTCCGTGGAGTTGGGGAGAGGTTGCTGTCATGTTGTTTCCCTGTGGGACCCCGAGAGGCCAGGCAGTACAGCTGTCTGCTGTGGGCTTTGGGAGGGATGTCCTGAGTCTCAGGTCAGCCCCACCACTGTGCTGAGCAGTCTCAGGCCAGTCACTGTCCTCCTCTGTGCCTCAGTTGCGCCACCCATAAGATGGCATCAGGATGCCTAGCCTGCCGGGTTGCTGGTCAGTAAAGTGCTTTCGCACAGGGCCCGACACAGAGTAAGCGTGTGGCACCTGCCATTATTCCTTTCTGGCCTCCAGCCTTGTCTCCTACAGACTTCTGGTGTGTACAGCCATCTGCCTCCGGCCCTCCAGCCTGTCCTGTCAGCTCACTGCCAGCTCCCTCAGGGCCATTCTCAAGACCCAGCACCTATGGGAGCCTCTGGGCAGTTCCTTAGCATCATACCCCTGTGCCTGGACAACTTGTGTCAATATTGAGTCTTTTCATTAAGTATTTTAACTGCTATCCCTACCAGTCTTTCTCCCTAACTAGACTGCAAACCCATGGAGACAAGGCCGCTGCTACCTCTGAGATTCTGGCGTAGACTGCATTGGCCAGTGTACGGCAGGTTCTCATTAAACTTTGGTGGGTTTGAGCTGTCCAGTCCTACCATATATTCAACTCTCTGCTTAAGGCACACCATGACAGCCACCTCAATGGAGGTGTTATTTCTATCTCGATTTTAAACACACTGCTGTTTCTAGACTCATCCTTGCTGGACGGGCACAGGCCATATCCTTGTACATATCCAGGTCATTTCTTTTCCTTCTCAGGGGAGGTCGGCTTATCATTTAAGAAATCACAAGAGGTAGAGCCAGGATGGTTCAGTGGTTGAGCATCAACCTATGAACCAGGAGGTCACTGTTCCATTCCTGGTCAGGGCACATGCCCAGATTGCGAGCTTGGTCCCCAGTAGGGGGTGTGCAGGAGGCAGCCAATCAATGATTCTCTCTCATTGATATTTCCATCTCCCTCTCTCCCTCTCCCTTCTTCTCCGAAATCAATAATATATATATATATA